CCGTTTCAACTCTTGAAAAGCTTGTTCACATGATTCGCTCCACACTACTTTGACATTTTTCTTCAACAACGATGTCAATGGACTTGCCAATCGTGCAAAGTCTTGCACAAACCTTCGATAATACCAGGCCAACCCCAAAAAGCTCCTAATCTCTTTTTGCGTCTTTGGTCGGGGCCAATTTTCAATAGCGCTCACTTTTGATGAGTCAACCGAAACACCATCCCTCGAAATAACATGCCCCATAAATGCTACTTCGTTCAACCAAAATTCACACTTAGACAGTTTAGCATACAAGTGATGCTCCGTCAATACTTGTAGCACTAACCAGAGGTGATTCGCGTGATCTTCCTCGCTCGAAGAATACACTAATATATCATCAATGAAGACCACAACGAACTTATCCAAATATGGTCTGAAGACTCTATTCATCAAGTCCATGAAGGCAGCTGGAGCATTCGTCAACCCAAATGACATCACCGTAAACTCATAGTGCCCATAACTAGTTCGAAACGTTGTCTTCGAAATATCGTTGTCTGAAATCCGAAGCTGATAATATCCCGATCTCAAATCTATCTTCGAGAATACGCTTGCTCCCTTCATATGATCAAAGAGGTCGTCAATCCTTGGAAGAGGATACTTATTCTTAACGGTAACTTGATTTAATCCTCGATAATCAATGCACAACCGAAGACTACCATCCTTCTTCTTAACAAATTGAACGGGCGCTCCCTAGGGAGAATTACTCGGCCGGATATACCCTTTATCCAACAACTCTTGAAGCTGCTCATTCAATTCGGCTAACTCCTTAGGTGCCATACGGTAGGGAGCCTTAGACACCGGTTCTGCTCCTGGAATTATATCAATCGTGAAATCTATATCACGGTGAGGCGGCATACCCGGTATCTCATCAGGAAATACATCCGTAAACTCTTTTACCACCGGCATGTTTAAAAGCTGACTCCCATCTCCCAAGACATCATGCACTTCACATAGGAACAATGGGTGACCTTTACGAGTTAACTCATGTAGAGAGACAACAGACACTATCTTAATCGATGGGCGATAAGGAATCTCCTTATACACAACTTCTCCACCGCAAGGGCTCCGAAGAAAGATCTTCCTCCCACCACAATCTATTCGGGCCTGATAGGTAGCCAACCAATCCATACCCAAAATGATATCGAACTCCGCCAATTTTAGCTTCAAAAGATTAATAGGGAATTCTATGCCTCCGATCATTACAGACACTCCTACAAAAAGACAATTGCAAGGCACCAGCTCTCCGAAGGTAACCTAATCTCCACCGAAACCTCTACTTGAGAATCTAATTCTAACCTCTTAGCACATCTACTCGATATGAAAGAAAGGGATGCACCGGAATCAAAGAGAATAACCACAGGTAAATAAATCACCAAGAACGTACCGGTCATGATGTCTCCCTGGTTCTCCACAACTTTCCCTCTCGTCATGACATTAATGTGACCTTTCTGGCCACTCCTCCCCCCTCCTCTTGCACGCCGAGGTGCCAATGGCAGTGTACGACCTTGCTGCTGTGGAACTGGGGTCCTCTCAAATGCATTTGGAGCTCCAACTAACTTGGAGCAAAACCTCTTAACATGTCCCGGCTCATGGCAGTAATAGCAAGTGATGGGCTGGCCGTCACAACGAACTCCAGGATGAGATTTTCCACATCTGCTACAAATAGTCAGACCTCCACGTTTGTCACTCGAATTCCCCTGAGTGAATTTAGGGCGAGATGCATAGGGAGTACCCGAAAACCTCTCCAATTGATCCTTTCGCTTATAGTTCTTCAAACCCTCGCTCACCTGCCCTTTTCCTCTATCTGCCATGCGGGCCCCATCCCTCCGCTCATCATACGCTATTCGATTTGCCCGATAGATGTTAGCTGCTTTCTCGTACGCCTCTTGAAGGGTCGACACACTGAAGCCGGCTAAGAACCGCTGAAGGTCTCTATTCAGCCCACCAACAAATCTTGTCAGTTTGCACCGATCATTCGCTGCCAAATCCGAAGCGTAGGTAGCCAATTCATCAAAACGCGTGAAGTATTCTTCCACCGTCATATTGCTCTGCACCAAGGCACTAAACTCATCCTCTTTTGCTCTCTGAATGTGCGGAGGATAAAAGCGCGCCCTTATCATCATCTTGAATGCCTCCTACGGTAATCCAACCAAATTGCTCCCTGAAGCCTTCTCATTATTCCACCACTTCTTGGCTAGTCCTTCTAAATAATATGCAGCTATCATCGTCTTCTCTCCTTCCGGGCTTTTCACCACCTCAAATATAGTCTCCAAGCGATCCAACCATTCTCCCAAAATAGTCGGGTCCGATTGACCCGTGAAAGTCGGAGGACTATGACGTAACACCTCATCCATAGCACTCCGGGGCTGCTGAGTGAACTGTCCCATAAACTGACGAAAGATCTCCAATGTCGGGTCTGATGGTCGAACGGGATCCTGAACTGGACGGTCGGGGTTTTGGGATTGCCTACTCTCAACCTCTTCATCGGAATCAGGTGCCAATGATGGCTGACGAGCACGCCTAGGGGCCATCTTGCTAATTGAGACTAGACCTAATAAGCTCCACTTAGTCTGATAGCATGAACAATACACACAAACACATGGAATAAATATAAAATGCAATGCATGCCATGAATGCACCCAAACCCGACTAAGCCCATGATCTAATTGCTTTTAGAAATTTTGAAATCTTAAAGTTTTATTAACCAAGAAGCATGAGCCTTTAACTTGTCTCTGATACCAATATTAACACCCCGGCCGGCTCAAACCGGAGCGTCACCGCCACGCCACACCGGAAGGCTCGTTCATCAACCAACGAGTCCTACGTTGTGGCGCTAAGGCTTAAATAATAAATACCAACAACTAATAGGAACTTAGAATTAAAGCGCACCGGCTCATCAATTAAGTAAATAAAGTTCAATTTAAAAGCATAAATTGGAAATAGTTCAAAATGCATTAGTCTTTAAACACAATCAATGAATTTCAAAATATTTTAGAAGGTAAGGTAGTTCTCATTTCCCCCGATGGATCATATGACGTGAATGCATCACTTAGGCATAACGGAAGCATGATCACCTACAAAAAGAATCGTAAGAAGAGGGTCAACACAACGGTTGAGTAAGCGCAATTAATCGAAGATAAATTAATACGATATAATGCCACAAAATCATTTGAAGAAGATAGTCGAATAAAATGACACGTATCACATAAGGGGAACTCACACACACAAGTCTTTTAGCGCCTCCCTTATATCTCCTTTTCATTCTGAAATAATAGTGATGAGCACATCATGAAGAAAACTCCACTAAGCCTTAATCAGGGCCAGCTCGACCCGGTTTTCCAACCTTATTACTTCGTATGACACGTCACATAATTTCACATAACAAACATAGGGTCATAACCCTCAAAGGAAACTCCACAATGTGTACATAAGGGTTCGAAATCCAAAGTACACGTAAATCAATTTATTGTTAGTTGGCGAGGGGCGCCATACGGCCCACAACCCTCTAGTCTCCAATATAACATACCAAGATGGGATTGTACGCAATCCATCCCTCCATCACGGATGACGGTCTAAAGACCTTTTCATCGTGAATGACGGGCACCTCGGAATCACCCAAAAAGGGAACCCGCCATCTCGATCCCTCGACCTAGCCCATTCGGGATCTAGTTCAAGGTTAGCTACTTATCCTAAAATACCGGCATACCCTCACGTGTTTGCAAGGCATAGAGGTGGAAGGCTATGCCTTATCATCCAAACAATCGACGAGTTGATCGGACTCGACGGGTAGTTTCAATTACCAATTTGACCAAATACTCAACATGCTCTTAGGCAAATTTCAAAAAGAGTGTTTTAAACTCAAATATTCCAATTGCCAACATCTCACCATGCAAAAGTAGGATATTAGACCCAACAAGTTCGTTATGATTTCACTTTATTTCACCAAATAGACATTCGAAAAATATTTCAATCACAATAGGCATGGTCTAATTCCAAGAATCATAATATTTAAATATAATCGTAAATCTTTTTCCAAAAACCATAACTAGATTAGGGCAAAACTAGGGTTTCAAACCCATCCCATAAATTCTACACTTTTCAATTTAGAATCCAATAATAATCTTCACATAAACATTATAATCAACTTCTTAGAAGAAATTGGCAAAACCTAACACTTTTAGGGCAAACCCATTTGACAAAAATATTGAAAAAGATATCAATAGAAGGGTCTAGGGATTAGAACATATCAATCCATCCTAGATTAATCCCACTTACACAAGAGAAGAGACCAAAAGGAATAATTTTGGAGAAGAAGAACTCCAAGGGAGAGCAGGGGACTGGCGGCGGCGCTGGCGGGTGTGCTGGCTGCTGCTGCTCCTTCTTTTTTTTATTATTTTATTCTTTTATTTAACATAATATACTTAGTCCTTTATTAATTATTTTATTCTACTTTGACCCAAACTCAATTTCTACTTCTAATTTAAACCCAACTCTTTAATTTATTACACTAAAAGACCAAAATAAATTATGCCCAAAATAAAATTTGTCCGACTCCAACAAACTTCCGGCGATTATTTTACGGGGTCTTACAATATCTACTACTCGCAGTAAACACATAAGCTCAGAACGTGAGGGCATATAAATTATAAAAAATAAAGGTCAAATCAACTTTCAAAACCATCAAAATAATGGCAATGAAAGTTATCACACACTTTTTTTATTTTTTATTAAACAACCAGTAAATGAAAATATATTGAATTTTCTTATTAAATGTATCCATAATTAACATATATATAGAGAAAGACGCATAGTGAAGTAAAATATGTTATAACTTCAGTTAAAGTCCTATATACTAGCACATTGAAAGCCAACATGTTACTTGATAGAGAAACTAAAATCGAGCTAGCAGCTCAACCAATAAGAAGACTTTAATTCATCACTAGATCATAGGAGAATAAGGTCAAAATTCTAAGCCTTGTTCGTCCGAATTTCTTTTGGAATTAAAACAAAATGTTTTCCAACATTTTATGTTATTGTAAACAAATGTATGGGACATAAGTTATGATGGCATTTATGTGGCTGTATATATAACCATTTTAAAATGACCCAAATTTACCATCACAAGTTCAAATATTTCCAGCCATTTAACCTGCTTGCTCTCTTAGTTGGTTGGCTCAATCATTCAATTAATTGCAGCTCAGCTATAAATTTTAGAAAATAAATAAATGGTCAAAATATAGTAACAATTTTATCTTTACAATCAGTGTGTTGTGTCCCATTAGTAATTTATCTTAGATAACTAAATCACACCATCAAAATAAGTGAATAAACATCACTCTTAGTATTCTTCATGTACATCTTCGAATTTTCCAGCATTGGTCACAACTCTTCAAAAAGTCATTAATCAAAGAACAACTCTGAATTTGATGCCTAAACCAAATGAAAAAATAGCAAAATTTGGCCCTACGCCACTAATTCATAGGTTAGCATTCATATACAGAACAATATTAACCAAACATACACCTTCACTTCATAATACTTTACGTTTAATCAACTGTGGTTTTTTTTTTCTTTCTAAAGAACATAAATGCTCAGTTTCATGTACTGTCAAAAAAATAAAAATTTATAGCAGAAATAATATTACCTCTAGAATAAAACTAAAGTAGAGAAACAATGTTCTGCATTTACAAGTAATCAAATACGAATATTCTTATAGCAGTTGCGATCAATATTCTGAGAAATGTATTCAAGAGCAAATAAAATGAAAACCAATTTTCAAAAGTACATAAATAATTCAGGTCTGATGAGATCATTGTCTTATTAAAGCAACATACCATGAATATTCGAGGGATATCTAGAGCTTCATCCGAGGGCTAACAGAATTCTTCACAATATTTGGAGATCCAGAACAGTCCGGCGACCTTCATGGAACTGAACCATCCCTGCAATGTTTTCAAAGTAAAGCCAATAAGTGTAAATGAATGGAAAATATATCCCGATTACACAAACAAGATGGAGAAGAATCTATACCAACTAATCTAGGCTAACAAAAATTAAACTAATTCACCTAGAAATTAATAAATAAACCGGCAATTGGCGAAGGCAGAAAGTAACCCAACTCTAGCAAACCGAACTAATTTTCCGCAGGCAGGGCAACTAGTAAAGGGATTAAATAGTTGGCTTTAAAATTTAGACAATCCATAAAAATGCAGCAGATTGTTAAGCTATACTAATATAAAATAAGAGTTTCTAAAGCTTACAATTTAACACTCTTGTTGATCTCGTTGTAATAGTGCAGCACATGATGTATGGCTTCTCCCGTATATCCAAAATGTATGCATCTATCCTAGCTTTTATTAAACTTCTTATCCTTGCAATATAAGTTTTTAATTATGTAGGCAACTGATCCAAATGTTTTGATGTATTTAATTCCTTGTTAAAATTACCACAATCTGATTAGAGGGAATGTAAACTCAATACATGCTTCCTGTTTATAAAGTTATAGCCCAGCAGAAGTTTATAATCTAACTATATAGATGGTTACAATCGGGAAGTATATCTATATTTCTTACAGTAGTATGTAACTTGGATGCTGGCAAGATTAGCCTTTCTAATCCATGAGATGCATCATTTATCAATTTGTTTTTATCCTCTAAATTTAGTTAAATGACACTCATGTTGCAATTGTTTTATTTCAGCCACTTCCCGAGATTGTTTCGCTTGTTAAGGATATTGTTGTGGAGTATGTCACAGGTATGGTAAGTCTTTGCTGGTAAAATTCTTTATATCTTATACAATAGGTATTGTAGTCCCCTTGTCATTCATTACATGAACATTGTTAATGATATACTATCAGGTCCATAAAGCTGAAGACGTTGCATCCAAAAGGGACAAGCTATTAACAGAGGACTTTCACTTTCTAATTGGAAAGGTATATTTAGCTCAAATTATGTTGTGGAGGATGTTCCTAATATTATCATTTCCCAAATAATATGAATACAAATGCTATTAAAATGCTTAAAAGATAAGGATGATTGTAGAATTTGCCGAAACTTAACCGTTGCACGGAATTGCTCTCAATGAATGAAGAGCTCAAGCAAGCAAGGAAGACATTTGAAGCATATGAAGAGAAATTAGCATCAATGAGTAAGAAATGTTGTCGGTGTCTCATTAACCTTATTCTCATTGAAAGTTTATGTTTACTTATCAAGGATTAAGCATTATCACAATGTACTTGCTTATTTTGTCCAGGATAATTCTCCTAGAGGGAATGAACTAGCTGCACAGCACATGCAGCAGAATGCAAACGTTCTGTAAACTTGAAAGTTAAATATTAAGATGAAGTTAGGTACATTTTAATAAGCTTTAGAAACTCTAGAAAAACATTTCCATAATAGATAATGGTATATAATAATAATTGAAGTAAATAGATAAATGGTGTGTAAGGAATGGGGATTTGTACATACTCCCTTGTCAACATTCTACACTTAATTTATCAATGTAATCCTTTTATATTGAGTTTAATACCTCAATATGCATAGATATGCATAATGACAGTCGGAGAAGCACACACTCAAAACGGACAAACCAATTTCTGGTGAGTAGATTGAGACAAAAAAACTACTTCTCCTTGAGCATGTCTAAATAAGCTTTACTCTATGAACAAGCTAACACAATCTGTTTTATAAAAATCCGGCTAATCCCCTCCAAAAACTCAGACATTGCAAATGCCAGTAATCCTCTCAAAAAACTCGAGAAAGCCCTGATACCACTTCTTTTATTCCCATTACATTTGTGTAATTACCAACAAAATAATTTCAACCATAATATTATCCAAAAGCCAAAAAATCGAATTTTAATTATCGATGCGAAACCTAGGTTTTAAATCCAAAAACCTATGTTGCAGAAACTTAATCAAACAAATGAACATCAACTAGATGAGTATTATACTATAAAAGAACATCAAACACACAAACACGTTAGGCTAACCAATCGTTCTAATTCACCCGTCGATTTTGTGCCCTAAAACGTAGCACGAACGACTGCCTTTGAACCTAGGCGATGAAGGTTGCCAGTTTACGGTAATTTCTTGGCTACCTTCCACCATCGATGACGGAGCGAGGGTGTAGGCGACGGTGGAGAATGGGTGGACGCAACGGCATTTCGGATCGGAAACTACTCTGTAATCTCGTTGATTGAGAGAAATACTTAAAATTTTTCTAAGTGTTTTGATTATATATATGAAAGTACGAAAGTCATAGAAAGCACATTCACATTTTTCATTTTTTTAAAATAAAAATTTTAGATTGGATTTATTTTTTTTAAGAAAATTATTCTAAATAATTTTTGAAATTTATGGAAAGCGTGTATTTTTTCTTTTAAATAATTTTAGATTGAATTTAATTTTTTAATTTATAATATTTATTTTTTTGTTGAGGTGTGTCCTCGTAACAAATATATAAGATAATTTTTCGTCAAAATTGTATTTATTACAGATAAATTTTCATAATAAAAGAAAAGAAAAAGGTTGACCACCAATTTTTTTTTTGTCTCGATATAATTCGTAACAAAAACCACTTTTTGTGATGCAATAATTGTTAGGGAACAATAACCCACTTCAAAAGTTCAATTTTTTTGTAGTGGATGCAGGAAAAACAAATATATAAAAAATACTCTCGACCCTACAATTTATAGGGATTCAAACTTCAATTAATATAATTTTCATTCATAATATTTTGAAATAGTTCTTTTTCAAGTTGATCGATATCATTGCAAAAATTTATTTTATTTTTTGATGATTTCGTACTTCGAACGAGTAATATTGAAATTAAAACTAATTATTTTTTATATGAAAAATTTCTCACACTAAATAAAAAATTGTTTATATAATTATATATTTTCATATTTTCAATACTTAAAATCAAGTCCATAAATAAAGAAATCAATATTATAATTAACGAATTGTCCATTAAATTAATTTAGATTCTTAGATCAATTTTTAAAATCTAACGAATATGATTTGTTCAGCAAGGTGATAAATTCAGCACCGGATCGCTAAAAATAATGTTGAACTATAAAACGCACTTAGGAAATCAATGGCGCAATACAAATACTCGTTCCTATGCATACATATATATATATATATCATCTCTTATGTTTAAGCTACTTTGATCAACGAAACTATTTCAAAAAATAAAATTGGATATTGTTAATGATTAATCTGATTTGTCGAAACAAATGATATGTTATGAATTCAAGAAAGCAATTAGCTTGCAACATATATCTTTGACCGTTTTCCAAAAGGTAAATTCTCTAATTAACGCAAAAATAACATATATGTTACACACAAATTTCTCCAATTTTCTAAATCTTCCTAAACATAAAACAAAATATTTAAAATATTGTTGATGTATTTTTTCAACAATAAAAAAGTAAAATCCGAAAATAGGCAATATCTTCGAATTTGATATATTTAGCGCCTGAGATTAGAAATCTCTAAACATTGTACGGTATAGAAAATAAACTGGAAATTAAAATACTGGAAATTAAAAATGATGATCCCCGAATCACTTGCTTTTTCGTCGTTTGAAGATGATTGAAGATACTCTGTCAGTTGCAAATCTCAATCCTTAAATACTTTTCAGAAACGGTACTGGAAACCGTCGCCCGAACGGTTATAACGCCTCTTTTTCAACCGTCTGCTAACTCCTCTTCTGCTGACACGTGCCCTCAGCCGACCAAATTATCACTCTTACTCGCTCTCAACCCAGTATCCGACCTCCACACCAACCGATTTTTCTTTCCAACCACGAATCTTCCACCTTTTTTGGACCGATCGCAGACCTTCCGCCTTATTGGATCGACTGCAGACCTTCCGCCTTGTTGGTCCGACCGCAAACCTCCCGACTCGCTGGTCCAGCCACAAACCTCCCAACTTACAAACCATCGGACTTGCTGGTCCAGCCGCAAACCTCCCGACTTACAGACCAACCGATCTGCAAACCATCCGACTTGTAAACCATCCGACTCGCAGACTTTCCGCCTTATGGACCACCCGACCTGTAGACCTTCCGACCTGTAGACTTTTCGACCTGCGGAGCTTCCGACCTGCGGACCTTCCGACCTGCTATTTCCTTAGAAATACATCTATTTCACCTGATTTTCTCGGAACACCCCTTAATCAGTCCAACAAACCCAATTGTAGACCTATTTTTTCCCTTTAACTTTGGCTCTTTAAGCTAATTATAAATTTCATACGTAACTTGTCCGCCGCCATCGGACTTTCAAACGTCATTCCTCAATCGCCGTTTGGAAGTTCGCAACATATATACAACCATACCTCCTTTGCAGAACCGTCTCTGCAACTGCAATCAATTACGGCAACACATTCTGGGCCACCAAACTCTGCAACCTCATAATCAGCCTTTCATCTTTCCTCGAATTTTGCAACTCCAGAACCATGGCAAATCAATATATACCTGTACTTCCTTTCGATGGATCAGTCCCCGAAACAGCTTTTGTGGCGACGAAAATGCTTACTCCAACCATCCGCCCATACTGCACTACCCCTGAAGACTCCAATCGAATGAGAGAGGTCTTGGAGGCAGGCAATCTACTAGCCATCAACAACCCCAACGACAATGCTATCCATCTCCATGATAACATCAAAACTCATCTGACGGACCCCAAAGATCCTACCGCACCTGGTACAAAAGGGTAGCAGAACACTTCCAGGATCAATGGAAAAATCAACAAATCGACCAGGGCATATTTCTGTCTACACTCCCATGCCATCTACATGAGAAGGTTCTTTTAGCGATGGCAGCGTTCTGGCACCCTGAGATGTGCGCCTTCTTTCTTCCAACAACCCCCATCAGCCCCACACTCATGGATGTGGCCATGATCGCACATCTCCCAATTGTGGGGGAAGACCCTGTAATGGGTGCCCTAGATGGGCAAGAGCCCAATGCAGACCATTTGGGCTGGTTACTAGCTAGCGTTAAGGAATGGAGTTGGACCAAATTCTTAAACGGCCAGCAAGGAGCAGACGGGACCCCTGTGACCGACGGGGAGCATACGACCTTCCTGCTCTTTTGGCTCTGTAAGTATGTTGTAGTTTCCCTTTCAAAATGTGTTCTCCCTTCTCACCTTGATTTAGCCATACATATAGCTTCGGGTCGTTTCTTCTTGTTGGGGACCCTCTTCCTTGCCAATCTTTTTGAGGGACTGTCCAGGGTTAGCACCCGTCTTACAGATAAAGATGGTAAAAAATTAGATACTGCCACATCTGGCCCTTTTTGGTTTTTAGAATTGTGGTTCCGTCTTTATTTCCCTGAAGCGTTTCAACTCGGCCACCCCCCTATTGCACCACCACCTGACAAATCTCTAGTAATAGCCCTTAACCGACTTTGTTTAGGTCGCAACAACCTTCAAGCATCCGACCCAATCATTACTGCCATTCTAGCCGATGATCGTAATAACTCCTATTTTTACATACATAGAAAGTACATCGGTTATGCGTCTGGCCTGTTTTGGCCATTCCCTGTATCTTCACCTTTGTCCGAACCAGACCCACTTCCTCATCCCACTTATTCCTTCTCCTGGGATGCTGCTCTTAAGCCCAAGTCCTTATTTATCATCAAGAAAATCGACAAGAAGGGGCACAAAGCGTTTTATACCTTCAGCTATCAGCCCCAGTTTTTAGCACGCCAATTCGGATGCCAGCAAGGCTTGCCTAGTCCCATCACCCATCCACATTTAACAATTCAAAGTCCAGATGGGAAAGTCATTCTTGAATTAATCGCCCTTTATGTATCCCAGCTCACCAACTACATAACTTGTAACTCCTACATTCCATTCAGAACTTCTCTAGCTTCAATTGAAACTTTCCGCGAATGGTGGTCGGTCACATGGGCCTTAATTGCTCCTGACAAAGATCGCCTGTTGGGCATCCTTTTACCCCAGCCTGCGCTGATATTAGGGGCAACCCCACTAAACAACACCCGAAGGAAATTAATCACTCAGGGCACTGGATCAGGTACTTCACAGAGGAAAAGAAGAGCTTCCCAGACTCAAACCATTCCCTCATCTGGAGACAATCAACCGACATTAATAGACCGCCCATCAGGTTGGGCCCCCAAAAAGACCCGACCTCGTCCAGGTATAATCTCATATTCTCAACTTAAGTTGATTCTTTCCTTACCATGTTATTAACCCTTATTTTTATACTCAGGTCCGACTACGGACAGGGAGACCGTCCAACCTGCTTCAAACCCAAACAAAACAGCAGAGCCACCAACCGACCACCTTCACGAACCTGAACCCCCGACCAAACGCCGGGCCTCAACGAAAATGCCTTCAATAGCCAAACTGGCAACGACAAGGGTCTCGTCCCACAGTGAGGCGACTGCTTCAGAGATGGGTAGATTACCTTATATCGCTTCAGACCCATCTCTGCTTAATATGGCGCCAATGGCCACGCCTGCATCCGCCTCTGATGTGGTCGCTTCAAAAGACAGAAATGTCTCTTATGCGGCCATTCAAATCGCTCCTGACGAACCAGCTGCAGCCGCCCCAGACGCGCCCGACCAAGGAGGAGCTGTCGTGAGGGCAGCCGACCCTCCTCCAGAAGTAGACAGACAGGAAGAAGAACCTGTACCTGTTCAATCGAGGGGACTCTTACAAGAGTTACAAGAGATTCCCTCCTCTGACTCAGAAACCTCTGTTAACTTGGTAAACATTTGAAATTCCTTCTTCCAAACTACAAGCTAGTGTTAACATGATCTTTAGCACACTATATCTCCATCATTCAGGGACCCAGATCCAAACCAAAGCGCCCATTTGAAGCAGCAAACGAGTCGGCCATAGCAATACCAGCCGCCCAGCCTGCCAGACCTATAACGCTCTTGGTGCCTCCCACGACCACGATCCGACCAGAAGTAAGTACAACTTCCACAATAAATTCTCAATATTTTTGCTCCATGTAGTCTGAAATGAACATCCTTTCCTCCAGGGATGTCCTGATCTAGCCCTCTTGTCGGCTGTTTCAATTCCGACGGATGCCCGAGCTATAATTGCACAGGCTATTGATCAACCTTTCCCCGACCTAAGATAAGACTTACTTGACGGTCTTCTTCAAGCCATTGGTGGTCTTTTATTTCAAGTGCCTTCAGAGTCGGCTGCTACCTCCATTCTTCACCAACTG